GACGAGCGGAGGAATGACTCAATACCTCAAGGCGAATGCTATGCAGTTCTGGGGAATCCAGCACTTCCATCTGTATCTCTACGGACAGAAGTTTCGGCTTGTAACAGATCACGAACCTTTGCTGGCGTTAAAAAAGCTCMCTAATTACACAGGCATGATTGGCCGTTGGGCGGTGCGGCTACAAKAATACGACTTCGATATCGTTCATCGAAAGACAGAGCGACACGGCAACGCGGACGGACTGACAAGTCTGCATCGACCTGCTAAAGTACCGAAGGGCGAGGAAATCACACCGTCGAAGGAGCCAGACTCGACAAACGAGCCTAAGTACGGACAAGTGGCAGTTACCCACGTGGCAAGAAGCAGAACGGTGACAATGGGTGATGGAGGTAACCCCACTACCCCTCTTTCTCCCCATTCCTGTTCGTCTCTCCTCTCCCTGCCTGACAAATTTTGCTATTTTTGCGAAGCTATCTTCCGCGTGTACTCGGTCTCCATGCGTCCTAACGGGGAAGGGTATGCGGAATGGATGGATTGTCGACAGTGTGTCGCACGAGCCCATGGCTCGTGCATCCAATACAAAAACGACTGTAAACCGTGGTTGTGCCCCTTGTGTCGAACTGACAAGATTTCGACCAAGGCTCACTTTTTGGATGCCACGTCAGAAGGGTTGGAAAAGACCTGAAAATTTAGAAGGGCCGAAGTATGGACTGATATCACCTTGATTGCCACCTTAGTGGGTAACCCTCTCCAGGATTTCACCAAGGAAGATCGGAGGAGGACTAACGAGAGGGCGCGGGATTATTGATGGATAGAAGGTAGGCTAGAAAAACGAAAAACAGACGGCAGTGGGATTTTGATGGTTGTACGGCATCCGTTCATGAGGTATGACTGGGTTAAGACGGCACATGAAGAAACTGCGGCTCATTTCGCCGTACGGATCACGGAGTCGGCTATCAACAAAAATGAGTGGTACTGGTCCAATGTCCGCGACGATGTGAAGTACATCGTCGCCAATTGTCAAGTCTGCGCCGTTGATAAAGCACCGATTCAGCCGCCAAGATCGATAGTGCCAACGGTAGTTGAGCGACCATTTCAAAGAGTCAGCATGGATACTATCGACATAGTGGTGCCCCTTGGTCCTAATAGTTGTGAGTATTCAGTCCTGTGGGTATTTGTCGACCATTTTTCGAAATGSATCGAGGCCTTCCATTGTTGCACGCGGCAAACCGCTAAAATCGCAGAATATGTCAACCGTTTCCTCGGGGTGCACCAGGATACGAAAGAGATCCTGACCGATAACGGGGCTGAATTTAGGGGAGAGSTACTGAGGAATCTGGTCATACATGGTGTCGCCATAYGAAACACTGCATCCCATATATTACAGTCCAATGGGTTGGTAGAAAACGCAAACAGAGTGATAAAGATAGCGTTGCGACGAAATATCGCGGCAAGTGATCCGAGGCCCTGGCCCGATATCGTCGACCACATTCTGGCGGTTCATCGGGGTACACCTAATGAATCGACAGGGCTAAGTCCCTTCCAATTAAGGACCAATAACGTCGCTTGCGTTTCGTTACCAAGCCGACGGGATGAATCTACACTGAACCGGCGACCCACTAGGGCCACGGCTCGGGATAAGGCCAAACAACACTTAGAATTAATGGAACGGTCCCTGCCGAGGGTAGCCCGAAAATGGCACAGAATGACAGAGTTGGCCCAAGGCTGACAGGTTAGAAGCTACGAGGCCTGGAATGGGAACGTAGGCCCACGGTCYCAGTACAAATTAGGGGACATCGTGCAGGTGAGGAAATGTGCTTGCAAGGGTAAGCTAGCGCCACGGTTCTTCGGGCGATTTCGCGTGATCGAACTCGGACCAAACGACGTGAATACCGTGCGGCTTGCGCCTGAGGTCTCCGGCAGCTGATCGGCTCGCCCGATGATCCGCCACGTGTCCTACCTTCGTCCCCTTCCTCCTTCCCCATCTTCGCACTCATCCGATTCCTCCTCCACTGCGGAAGAGGGCGACGACTACCTATCTCCTGTCTCTCCGTCTCCTTCCTGTTCTTTCTCTATTACTCCATCACCATCGCCATGAGCTTTGCAACAGAGCAAGTGATCGGCGCGTGGCTACTTACTTCGCGAGGGCGAATCAGTGTTATACGGCAGGTGCAGCGGCCCCATCTCTGCTATGATCTCCTCCGGTTCGCACCCTTCTTCWGCACTGCCRCGATCTACGCGGTGGCAACGTTCCGATTCACGGACGAGGCAACTACGAGCGTTCTGGCTGAGATCTCGGCCTTCCGACGACTATCCCCCACCGGGATTAGCCATATCCCCGTCGTCGTTGTCTTTACAGGGGATGTCACAGCGATCCCGCCGGCGATTCACTCTGACATCTATCGGACGTTGCGCGCCTGGGCAGGGGAAGTGCGGGCAGCGCGGACAGATCTCCKTGCTYGACGAGGAGATACCATTGTGCAGACGCATGACACAGACTTCCAGCTCCGCTCGTCTCGAAGGTCGCCAGCAATCGTGCTTCAGGAGCTTCGTCCCTTCGCGCCGCCCCAATGAGTTATCGCCGCGTCTCCTATTTCGGCGTCCCCTCCAACATCCCCACCCTTTGGCAGTCTGCGCGGGCCCCTACTCTCTCCTACCGTATYAAGGATAATAGTGCGCCGCTATTGAGCGAAGAGAAGTGGGACGCGTGGCGGGAGGACTACATTGAGCTCTCTTTTTGTCTATTGGAGATAAAGTTTCGCTGGTCAGAAGCGGCCCCGTTCAGAGAAGGACCAGAGCACCCAGAGGACAACGTGGAGCTTCTGATCATCCAAGCCTGGAGAACGGCGGAGCAGGGCGTTCTGCTGGGATTCGTATTCAGGAAGGTGCAGGAGGGCAATCTCACCTTAATCACAGACGAGTTGCTGGTGTTTCTGACTCAGCTGGTGGATGATCTGCCCCTGGACATCTTGTCACGCAGTGACGAGGAGCCTAACACCCACGTGCTGTCTCCAACGCTCCAGCCGCACCTTGTGTGGTCCACGTGTACGGAGATTAACGAGGACAACTGTCTCTATCCCTCCCAGGCGCTTTACTTGGAGATCGACGTTACCGATCTCATGTTTTGGGACCCGATCGCGAGGAGAAACGCGGCGCAGGACGAGGAKATAGGGGCTGCAGAGGAAGAGGAGGAAGAAGAGGAGCCATCGAGTGAAGAACGGGACGATCTAGACTACGTCCCGGAAAGAGAAACGGGGATAGCTAGCGGATCGAGCCAGCCGCATAAAAAAAACGAAGAGGAGGAAGAGCAGAGGAAGCGGAAGCGCCAGGAGACCACGGAGGGAAAGCGACCCACGACAAACGTTTCTCCTATCGATCCATCGATCAGGGATCCGTGGCATGATCCGGCGCCGCCAGAAGAAGAAGACGATGGAACCGCAGCAGAGGGATCGTGGACAAGAAGAAGAAGAAGTGAATCCCCAGCTTCCTCCGGCTCCCCGTCCCGGTCCTCCATTCRTCTACATCAAGATCTCGGCGTTCGGGCTTCGTCCCCGGTCATTCTCTTGCCGACCCCGTGACTACCTCATGCTTACCCGTCTTCCTGATAGACCCGCGTTCCCCGATGATTGGTGTCCTTTCCCCCATCACCTTTTCTACCATCTCTACGCTACCCGCTTTCTAGTCTCCGTTTATCTGCATGCCACCACCCGCTCTGTGGTTGATTCCTTTCTCCTTCATCTGCTCCTGTTTAGCGCAGACTGGCGGGAATATAACCACGTAGAAATRTAYTKTATTATATCTGGAACTATTCCCGCCTGCGAAAACTACGAAGATTTTTGCGCCGCCCTACGATGGACCCTTTTTACCATCTACCCCGATTTCATCGCCGCTTTTCGCCATCTTCATGAGGTCCCTCGCTTCCCCCGCATCCATCGCTCCTTCCACTACGCTACCCTTCTTGATTTCGCCTCTCCCGCCATCAATCGATTCACGCCCCCTCTCCCCCTGAACCATTTGCCACCTCCACCCTCGATGATTCGATTGCCATTCCCTGGGAACGTCTAGGATCTATCCTTTTTTTTTTACACGGATGCATGGTTGGCTGCCACGTGTCAGTCTAGGACGGGTGTGACCCCCCCCCCCCTCTCCTTGGATTGTCAATAGCCCTTCCTGAGGAAATAGTAGTAGAGCTTGCATGCCACGTTGGAAGACGTCCACACTCAATTGAACGGTAAGTGGCATAGAAAGAAGAGCTTCGTGTGTCAATCRATTAGAGGAATCGAGACGTGTCAACAAGCAAGCAGGAGCTCGCTAATATTGGAACCCCCTGGGCATCACATGTGTGACGAACCACTTTCTGCGACGGGCGACTTTCCGCGCGGTTGCAATGAGGGGACCTAAGTTGGGAAGGTTGGGCCAATTACGGGAGATCGGGATCRGTGGGAAATTGCAYCAGTGTCCTTGCTTTTTCATTCTTTTTGTCGCTTCTTTTCGAATGGCTGGGTTCGGAGCCAGGTGTGTCCTGGGACGGCCGGTTGATTGATTGGTTGGCCGGATGGCTGGCACGCCACCGCACGCGCGATTGATAAATGTTGACGTCGTTTCTTTTGTTTTCGTTCCAAACTTTWGGGTGCAGACATCGCGCGGGAATTTGCTTCGTTCTTTTTGAATTTTTCTTTTAATTTTTTTTCGAATTTTGTCGAGCCCCGATGACTCTCGAAATTTCGGACCTTTCTTCTGAAATTTGTGTTTTTTGCTTCTTCGCATTAGATAGGAATTTAGGAATTTCGTAATTAGGATTTTCCTTGCCGCGCGATGTTTTTTGTCTACGCGCTTCTTTATGCGGCTGCAACGGAACTCTGATTAGTAGGCGCCTTTAATCGTGTATGTAACTGTATTTTTGGGCGGGCGCCATTGTAACTGTATCTTTCTTCTTGCGCTTTGTCTTTCCCGCCCTTCTTCTCTTTCTTTTGCTGTGTTTTTGGTAGCCGCGATCTGCATGATTGGATCGATGCGTGGAGAGCGGCTACGTCCCCCACACCTCGATCAGACCATGCAGATGTAGGCAATCCCTCCCCCTTCCCTTCTTCTAAGTCCTTGTAATTCTGTGTTCTTCGCACATGCATGCACGCTATAAATTTTGGCTGCGCGATTAGTTAGCTCTCTTAACCAGCTGTTGGAAGCTCGGGGTTGCGCGATCAGGAAGGGTCGACACACGAGCGAAGTAAGAGGTGAGTAGAGCAGGAGTCGGGCGACCCGATGAGMTGGTGCCAAACACGCGGGGTTGACGCGGGCCCTGACGGACTGTGGGCGCGGGCGAACCTGACGGGTGTGGGAGGACTAAGCGGGGTGACGACTTCGTGGGTTGGTGCGCGACGACGGACTGTCCACATCGGAGAAGAAGAGAGAGAGAGAGAGAGTTGAGGTTGGTGAACGTGGAGTTGCGGTTTCTTTATCTTTTCTCCCTCCTGTCTCRTGTATATAAATTTTGATTTCGGCTCTGGGCGATCTGTTTGATTCCTGTTTTTTAGAATTTGGACTTGGGTTTTTGCTCACACTTGTCCTTGCGATTTTTCCCACCTTCGAGGCACTGTGTGTATGATTGTCGAATSTATGGATGTATGGATGCCATGGTTGATTGCTTATCCTTCTGCCGGATCCTTGTCTTTGCTTTTGGTTGTTGCATTTGATGCACTCGTAAGTAGAATATGAATTTTGCACAATCGATAATCCTGTCCTTGTCTTTGCGTGTCTTTTGATTAAGATGATTGTGATCGTTGCATCTTGCATGCTCAAAACAGCCCGGAGTAACTAGACGATTGGATGCTGAGTCCGGCGAACGCCGCGCGAGGACACGTGTAAAACGCGATCTGAGTTGCACACTKACACGTATCCCTGGGCGACGATTCGTTAAATCCCCACGAAACCATTAATCACTGACGCATTGTCGGAYTGAGCAGGGCCAACCCAAGGTCTGCAAYGGCGCAGTCGCCCCGTACGAACACGCGTAAGCCAGGCTTTATTCGCAAGGCCTGCGAGGGCTCGCACGTGGCAATCGCAATCGCCACGGACCAGCCCTTAGGCAACTCGTAACACCGCAATGACACCATGACGCGATYCTGGAATTCCGACTCGTCATACAACCCGGATTACTTCACCCCTTGGATAAAYGAACTCCTCCGAGAGAGATACCCCTGCCTAACCGAGAACCGACTGTGTCCTCGGGAATTTCACTTTGCCACCACTAGCGACCCGCTGTGCTCTGATTTCCCTTCTCCGGACCATACCTGCTATTTCATCCATYCCGGATTTGTCGTTATCACCACCTGTTTCCCTCCCTTTCGCCTTCTTCTTCCGTATCATCAACTCAACGTCGTTCCGTGGCCGGCCATAGCTCCATACTGGCCTAGCACACACTGCGAAAACTGTCGATGACGCGGCAATCAGAGGACCCCCGACTTCCGGAGGCCCAACCAGAACGCGCAACGACCAACGCCATGTGGCAACTTCCGAYGGCGTGACTCATGGAAACCACCTCCTCCCCGGAGGGATTTCCCCGCGAATCGCCGTGCCCGACACCAGTGGCTCGCCCGACCTTAAGCAACCCACGCGCGTTCACTATCGCCAAATTGCAYCCGTGCCCCCGAAAGACCCTGCCCCAAGGAGATCTCAGTTCTGATCTGGGACTCCACTTTTYCAAAAATCCTTGGCACACACCTTTTCRCACTTCCAGACCCACATCCTACTCCGATCAGGAAGTCGCGCTGAGCGTGAGGTTGGGCGTCACATAGCTGTCAGGTTGTGGATCTTCTGATGATTCCACTAGTATGTTGTGTATGTGGACGGTTCATGGACCATGTACATGAGGCCAACACACATTTGTTAACGTTCCCCAACGAGAGGCTTGGAATGACGGACCACCCGCCGCGAACTGCGGTCAGCTGTCAGGTT